GAAACAGTGCTTCCTAGATAAGTGAAGGAGGTTACTTCCTTTAAGTTTCTCCCGTTGACAGTGATTGGAGTTTGTTGTTGTTGATGGTGGTGGTGCGGTATCTTCATCACTTCTGTCTTCTCTATATTCACCTGAAGTCCCGTCTTCGCTGCCTCTTCTATCAACTTGTTAGTTTTTGCCTGCAGATCTTCAAGTTTATGTGACATTAGGCATAAGTCATCGGCGAAATCCAAGTCTTCTAGGTTCTTTTCCGTCGTCCAGTGTATCCCCCTCTTCTCGCTGCCTACTGTTTGCTGCATGATCCAGTCCACCACAATAAGGAATATCATGGGGGATAGTAGGCAACCTTGTTTCACTCCTGTCTTCACTTCAAAGGCATCACTGAGCTTCCCATTGTGGATTACTTGGCATGTGGCATCTTCATATAGTTGTTGAATGAGGCGGATAAAGGTTTGCGGCACTCCGTAGTAATGAAGCAGTTTCCAAATTACCTCTCGGTCGACGCTGTCAAAGGCCTTCTCAAAGTCGATGAAGTTGAGGTGGAGAGGTGATTGCCATTCTATGCTCTGTTCTATGATGATGCGAAGCGTTGCAATTTGGTCTGCACATGATTTGTACTTCCTGAAGCCTGCCTGTTCCGGTCGTAGTTTTGAATCCAGTGCATCCCTTAGCCTCTCCAGGATGATGCGGCTTAATATTTTACTTGGGGTGGACAGGAGAGTGATTCCGCGCCAGTTCTTGCAAGCACTGAGGTCTCCCTTCTTCGGCAGTTTGACAAGGTAACCCTTCTTCCAATCGTCAGGTACCTTCTCTTCCTTCCACACCTTCTGCAATAGTGGTGTGAGCATGGCCGCTGTTGTCTCTGCATCTGTTTTCAGTGCTTCTGGCGGTATTCCATCTGGTCCTGCTGCTTTCCCACATTTCAGTAGCTTTATGGCGTTCAGGACTTCCATTTTCGTTGGGGGATTAATGTTCACTTGTAGTTCAGCGGCTGCAGGTGGTATTTCTGGACGAAGTGCAGGTGGTGGTCGATTCAAGAGCTTCTTGAAGTGGTCGGCCCATCGTTTCCTCTGTTTCTCTTCTTTTGTAATTAAATTTCCTTCTTCATCTTTTATTGGTTTCATCTGTGTTGGTCTCTTCCCTGATAGCAACCTGGTTATTTGATACAATGTCGTCAGGTCTCTCTTACCTGCAGCCTGTTCTGCTTCACTTGCCAGTGTTTCGTAGAAGTGTCTTTTGTCGTTGCGTGCACTCTTCTTCACTTCTTTGTCCAGTGTTTTATACATTGTGCTCAGTTCCTCTTGTCGTTGAGCATCCTTGCACTGGTTTATCTTCTGCTTCACCATCCTCCTCTCCTCTATCAGCTTCCAGGTATCCGTCGAGATCCATTCCTTGTCTTCCTTCTTCCTTCCTAATACTGTTGTGCAGGTTTCTTTCCACATAGCTTTCAAAGACTTCCAATGTTCTTCCACACAGGTTTCTTCAGGGATGTTGCTCGATGTCTCCCATTTTGTCTTGATGGCTGCCTTGAAGATCTCCTTTGTAGTTTCATCCTTCAGTTTCCGAGTGTTGTACTTGAATTGAGGTCTATCACCAGCTTCCTTGAAGGCTTTTAACTTGATTTGGAAGGTTCCTTGCACTAGGTAGTGGTCTGAACCTACATCTGCTCCTCTTCTTGACCTCGTGTTAAGTAGACTGCGTCTCCATTTTCTTGAGATTGAGATAAAGTCGATTTGATTTTTAGTGTGTCCATCTGGTGAAATCCATGTCGCTTTGTGGATATCTTTGTGCCTGAACACACTGCCTCCAATCACCAAATCGTTGAATGCGCAGAATTCTGCAAACAATTCTCCATTCTCATTCATTTCACCTAGTGCCTCTCGACCCATGGTTAGTTCTCTTCCCGTGTTGTCCCCTCCCAGTTTGGCATTCATGTCGCCCATCAGAATTTTGATATCGCCAACTGACGTCTTGTCCAGTGTTGATTGAAGTTGTCTGTAGAAATCCTCCTTTTTCTCTTGCTCTGCATTATTTGTAGGTGCATAACATTGTATGATTGTGACCTTTCTTCCTTTTGAGTTGAATCTTGCTGTCATGATCCTGGAGGAGATTGGTTCCCACTGCATGAGAGCCTTCGATGCTCTTGAGGACATCATGATAGCCACTCCCTCAGTGTGCTCGTGGTTGGCGTCTGGGTGACCGGAGTAGATTATTGATTCTCCAGTTGACAGTTTGGAGAGTCCACTCCCATTCCATCTGCTTTCGCAAATCCCAAGCACTTCGATGTTATACCTTCTCATCTCCCTTGCAATCTGGGCTGCCTTACTGGGTTCAAACATCGTGCGGACATTCCATGTCCCCACGTTTACTTTCGCTTTCATCGAGAGAAGACACATCGGCCAATTGGCTTCCCGAAGGCTTTCACCAACTGGCGTCATTTCGCCTCTCCGATTCCAGCGGGGAATAAGTTTGTTTTCATTTTTTATATTTTGTTTGTGCTTTGAAGTTTCTTTAGCGGTTAGATTTGTTTTACGGGGTAGGGTTGCTAGCCCTATGCCCAACCTTCCCTCTTTACCCGGGCTTAGGACCGGCTAGTAACTAGTAAACTAGTTAACCAGGCGAGGTTAGGGCACAAACATAGACTAGTCAAAGAACAACAGTTTAAATTTGGGTAGTGAAAAACGCATCACAGACATTTTTAAATTTCCCTACATGGTGTCCAATACACTTTTCATCTTGACAGCATCTTCACGTAAAAGAACCATGTCATCCACGTATTTTAGGTACACAAACTAGTAATGAAGTCAGCTGAATCCGACTGGTATTTCTCACTATCTGAGTATATATGAATTTGTAATGATTTACAACGAAGTATATTGGCATACTTCGTTTCACTGGATAGTGTTTTGTTGACTGTAATAGTCTTGGTTTCCATATCTGAAGGGTGTAACACCTCAAGGCGACGTAAAAGTGAATGCTAACCGATTTTGTCGGAAACTTCCCATGTTAACATCTATTTTTTGTTCCGATACCCTAAGTTTATACTACTTCTTACTGTTATCTTACTAAGAAGATGACAGATACAAGATGACCTTGTTTGCATTAAGCATTTTGAGTTTTGAACAACTAAATCCCAGGGTGACGAAATCCAGAGAGATTGAGAAGGTAACAGAGATGATAACCACCCGGCAACTATTTAGGCGTATTAAGGATATCTGCAGGAAGATGCTGGTTCGCGAAACTATCACCGAATGGATGCGATACTGCAGACCAAACTTGCCTCATGTGTGGCGTTCGTGAGATATCCGACTATCTATCAAAGGACGAGTATACTACACTTCAGTCCGTTCTGTTTCGTTATACGACTGTGAGACGTGACCGCTGAAAGTAGAAGACATAAAGCAGTTACAGGGTTTTGGTCACACGTCTTCTTATCATTGCTCGCGTGTGCTGGGACTGCCGTGTGAGCAATGTGAGGTCGGGCCAAATGTAATAGGCAAGATAGCGAAGTCAGTCGATGAGGTTGTGAAGGTTAGTCAACTGAGATGGTTTTGACGTGTACTGCGCATGCCGATCCATCACTTACCTCGACTTGCGATGCTAGGGAAGCTGGATTAGGTTGACCAGACTAAGACTTGGCATCAGTGCATGAAGTGTCTGCCATTGGTCTGAGTCGTGTGGGGGATGTAGAATACCTGGTTAGGGTTCCTGAGATGAAAGAAATGAGTGGTTGAGGAGCGTTGGTGACATGGGTGGGAATTGTTCTCAGTGGACCAGATTTATTCACTATTTGGCATCTTCTGAATCCTGAATATTTGCATTCACTATTATCTTCAGATTGTTTATTCTCTTACGCAACTTTATGAACTTTGATGTCAATCTTTTTCTGTCTACTAGTTCGCTGTATGCTACTGTGGAATGTGGTAACTTGAACTGATGACTTCTGTCCCGTTTTCTTCATTGGTTTTGCCTGTCTATCCGTTTGACACTGGTCAAGTTTCCTTGCAGTTAGATATCCTATTCAGTTATATCGTATTGGATCCAATTTTAGGTTGTCATTTCGAGCATCCTCTTAGCGATGCGATATTGACTACAAGCAGGTGAACTTAGTGATATCATGAGAAGTCTTTGTTTTATATCGATTGCATTTCAGCTAAATAAATTTAGAATCAAACTGTAGCTTTTGAATCATTGTTGATCTTTTAGTTTAGACGAGGAGTCGTGAGAATGAAATTCCTCCTTTTTTTTAACAATTTCTCAGTAAGATTGGACTTACGTGACTGAATCTGTCTTCTGTCAGTCTTTCAGGCTTACTGAAGTCGGAGAAAAATGTCTTTTCTGTGTACACGTTTATAGACCACAACTTGGACGTTACCGATAATTCCTTCAACAAACTAACTTGTCAGGCATCTTGATGTCATTACTAGAAGTTAGTTTTACTAATGGACGCTGCGGTCTAGAAGATAGTTAGGTGACTGAAAGAGACTTCAAGTAATGGAAATGGTCTGCTGCAGTTTTAGGTTGGTTACATCATAGTATTATCCAAAAGTAATGTCCCAAGCATCAGCAGTACACTTGGTCGTTTACTTGGTCGCATTTGGGACACGTTATCTCAGTGTTGTTAATCTCAGTGGTTGTTTCCAACTCCTTTGTATTTTTTAAAACTTTTGTTTTTGGTTTCCTTTTCTCAGCTGCTCGTTATGTTTACTTTTACTTTTCACTTTAATAATTCAGTAATGCTTACAGCGGAGTAGATTTTGGTATTTCAAACAAATTTGGTTTGCATTTAAAAAAAACAGACTGACAACTGTTAAACAGCCGAGTGAAAAGGATACTTAGTCACCTTTCATATGCTACTGTATTGTCAGGTAAAGCAGAATAAGCTAACCACTTAATCATTCCTGGTGTTATACTTGTGTACTCAGTTTTGAATGTGTTGGCGTGATGCAGAACACTCTCAAGCCTATCTGTTCAATGAGAATTTTCCCCCATTCTTTTAGATACTACAAATTCAAATTTGAAGGCTGATACTAAATTTTCATATATTTGTATCACAGAAGAAGACTTTCATCTGAAACGTAAACAAGGCGAGTTTGTTGAATGGGGATTATTCAATCGTGCCTATTATGGGACCAGTACACTAACTATCCGTCAGTTAGTAGATGATGGGAAAATATGTTGTATATCTTTAAGACCTGATGTGAGTTTTAGACTTTTTTAGGTTTTTATTATAAAGCGTGAAATAGCTAGTTTTGGAGGAAATAAGACACTGTTAACTTTATACCATTTTCTTACCAACGAACAATGTAGCTACATTTTGTATCTTCAAGTTAACTGATGTCATAGACAGATCTACATCAGATTAGGATCTGACACTATCATTAAGTAACATATGAGTAGGTTGCAGGTGCGTACTTTACTAAATAATGTATGCTCTTTATTCTGCAATTAGTCAAATGGTGAGAATCAAACCAACAGGAGTAATGATTGAAGGTGAAATGAAAGTTTGGACAGCGGCCGGGTTCGAACAGTGGCCACCGAGTTTCTGGCCGGGTGCTCTACCAACTGAGGTACGGGGTACGACTGTTGCTGATCGGGTTTTTATTTCACTCCAATCAACAAGGTTTTTGCCCGACTAACATGTAAATTCGTGACGCGTTACTATCACTTGATAATACTCACACTGGCTGCCTAGTCCAGGACTTCTTATCCCAATCCAAATCTAACTGAACTAGAGAAGGGGAGCATCATACAATCAAGCGATGTTAACGCGTCGCGAATTCGCATGTTAGTCGGGTAAAAACCTTGGTAATTGAACTGATACAAAAATCTGGTCAGCAACAGTTGGACCTCGTACCTCAGTTGAGGGTCGCTAGTTCGAATCCGGCCGCGGTCCAAATTTCATTTCACCTTCAATCATCACCCAGTATCGATATTAGATAGTCAAAATGATAATCAGTAAGAATAATCCGAGTTCACGCATGGTTCATACAAGAGCATACAATGTTCTGCGTACAGTTAATGGTATAGCTGTAAAATATGGTGTGCATACAAGTGCATTATTATGCAGAATATTCAGTCTATAAAATAAACTGGGGTTACACTGCACTACAATTTTTAATTTCTACTTCAACAGTGACAATTTCGTTGCTAAGATCTCTAGAAATTAATCCAGTTAGAATAATACACTTTCTATTTGTATGTTCCACTGATGAGAACAGGTATTCAGTTTGCAATCAACCATCTTGAAAACCTGGTTTGTGGTTACGTCCAAGCTTTGAAAACGAAAATATAATGATTTGGTGAATCGTGAAACGAATACTAGATTAGGGTAAATTATTTGATGCTTGCCTACTACACATATTGACTCCTCAATCCTCAGATGGTGATTATCTACAAGTTGTAAATCAGTATATATCACTTCTATGTACAGGGTAATTTTTTTCACCAACCAACTGTATTTCGATTTATAATTTCCCGCATTGAAGCAATTTACTCGTTTGCTTGTTTCTGCCACTCTTTAATGTGGTCTCTTTCTATCAGCTGATGTAAAATTATGTATATCATTCATGGACTGTTGAAAATATATACACTGAACAGCTGCATCCTAATTTAAAATTGCTTCGGTTGAGTTAATGTATCATATAATCTAGTAGTTATTGCATTTACTACCTGATTTTCTATAGGTTTAAATAGATAAACAACTATCTTTCATTGCTTGATAGTCCATGTTACCTGAAGAACTTGTACTATTCGGTAACCGTATCGGTCAGCAAATACAAACACCTTCTGACCGACTGAAATGCATGTGCATTTCTCTTCTTTATTGAGAATAAACAACCACTTAAAAAATAGAAATGAATTAATAATAGCCATTTTATCTTAGAATAAAGATTACTTTTCAGTCAGTGGTCTCCTATAAGTGCATACGAGGCTGTATTCCTGTTTGTCATAATATTTACTAACCTTTCTAAACACTTGATTCAACAATCGAAGTGTGGTTCAATTTTCAAACAATATGCCTCTTGTTGAAATCTCATCTAACCGCTTGAACCTGAGCAACCGTGGAGAATTATGATCCCTCAATAACTTCATCTTGCTATTAGTCTAGTTCATAAACCGTATACCATATTAATTAGTCACTGATTTATAGACAAGTAAGTTTTCAACACATTTGCTGAGTTCTCTTCTCTAGATACTGATGAATATGGCACATTTAGAAAAAAAGACAAATGAAGGATGTCTATGGCTTTCATTTATCTGAATTCAATAGTCACTCAAACATTCTCCTTCTGTTCCCCCTCAGCTCTTCTTTGCCAATCAGTTGGAATAATCTGTCTAAGCTGTTAAGTTCCGGGATTTGTTGTTGTTTTTGTCAGTCAGATTACTTTTGATAACTTGGAAACTTGCCGGATAGTTATCTATTTAATATGTGTTTAATAGTAAGCTAATCTGATTGTCAGGATAATAAATTCCAGGTAGACTTCATACAGTTTTCAATCTAAAATAACTTTGAACTATAAGGATGTATAGGAAATTAAATCCCAATGAGACTAACTGTAAATGAAAACTCTAATTAAACTGCTTTTTTTCATATTGTGACACGTGGTGCTTTCATATTTTCGAGAAATCTTTTCAGGGTAGGAACTACTGTTCTTATTAGAATTATCATCAGACTGGTATATGCTATCCTGGCAAATCATTTTGTTGTTTAATGTTTTTTGAATTATAGTCTTTACGCAAAGTTCGTTCAAGTGGTCTTGTGCCTTACATAATATTTATTTCACCTCCGGAACGAGTTGACGATTTGCAACGTTTACGTCAAAAATTAAATTTAACTGGAAATTGTTCGGTAAATAAAAGCTTTTTTAAATTTTCATCATAACTAATTATTTGCAGCTTGGTAGAAATGATGCTAAGTGGCTAGTAGTGGAAGGCTTTTAAAATGTATGATTCACACGCACCTGACTTAAATAGTTTCATCAGTTGCTATTACATGTTTTCATCGCTTCGTATTGATTCCTTGTTGTCCCTTTTTCACTTTGATTTTTGTTCACCCACATGTGTTAGGCGCTTTATTCGAAATGGAGAGCTGTCATGTGAACTGACGCCAACCAGTGGTGTTCACCAACGTTTCCCAGTGTCACCGTTCCTATTTGGATTCGTCAAAGACGTACTGATTTATATAACCTTAAGTACGTCTGACTTCATAGGGATTGATCTACCCCCTGGAGATCATCTGATTGACTTGGAGTATGTAAATGTTATTATCCTGCCAGGTGAAAACATTGACAAAATGTAGGGTCCTCTGGATGCATTGAGCAGAAAACTGAGTACACTTGGCATGGGTTTCGCAACTTTCAAATATAAGATGATGCTTCAGCAGGACTGGTGTGTAACTACTCCTATTTTATTGATAAGCAGTGAAGTAGTGGAATGTGTTGGCCACTTCACTGACTTAAGGATTTGCACCACCCCAAACAAGCTGGTCTCCGATGAAATGTCAATAAGGATACAGAGGGCCCATTCGGCATTCGCCAGCTTACATTATCTGTGGAGCTGATTGGCGAGATATTCGACTATCCATCAAAGGACGAGTATACTACACTGCAGTCCGTTCTGTTTTGTTATGCAATTGTGAGGCGTGACCACTGGATGTAGAAGACATAAAGCGGTTACACGGTTTTGATCGCGCATGTCTTAGTAGCATCGTTCACGTGTGGTGGAATCACCCTGTGAGCAATGTTGAGGTCAGGCGAAGGGTACGAGGAAAAACAGGCTGGCAAGTCGATCGGTGAGGTTGTGAAGCGTGGTCAACTGAGATGGCTTGGACATAGGCTGTACATGCCGAGCCACTGCCTACCTCGACGTCCCATGCTAGGGGAAGTTGGGTAAGGTTGTAAGAGGGTGCAAGTTGACCAGACCAAGACCTGGCACCAGTTGATGAAGTATATTACTGTTGATCTAAGCTCTGTGGTGCGATATATACTACCTGCATGCGGTTGCAGGGACGGTAGGAATTGGTGGTTGAGTACTGTAGGAGACATGGCACATATGCTCGGAAGTTTGAATATTCGCATTAACCTTCATCTCCAAGTTGTTTATTCTCTCACACAACTTTATGTACTTTGATAACAGTCTTTTTCTATTCGCCTGTTCTTTGTGTACTACTACCAAATTCGGCAACTTGAGCCGATGCCCTTATGTGTCAGGTTCTATGTTGATTTCTCCAGTCAGTCATTCGAAATCCGACAAGAAGATTTCTTTCACAATTGATTCCAAAATTAATTAGCTGCGCAGAGAATTGTCCTTCTTCAGATTCATTTACTCACTCGATGACTCAATGTTTTCCAGTATGAAATATTATATTTGAAGATACACAGTGATTAGATTCTAAGAAAAATTCATATTGACTTAATTTTCGCCTTTTAAAATGAAGCATAGGGGATATTGCGTACATAGAATTCTCGCGAGTTACATACGACTGTTCACTGTTACGTAGAGCGTTTGACTACTTCAATTATTTAGGTGTTCAACAATCTCTAGCTAGCTTAGCGACCTAACTTGGTTGACTAACAGGTAGAAAATATACTCATGCAGATACATGTTAACATATTCTTGGAAAGCATAACCTACTTTCAAAAACTGCCTGCCAAATGGATTGAAACTATTTTCGTTGGGGAAACTGATGGTTTCATAGCTTTGTATTGTCAGTGAAGCTGAGCTTGATTGAAACTAAGTTGGCACTTTTTCAGTGTGACTTCCTGAAAAGAAACTATATATTGCTAAGGAAGACAAGCTCGATGAAGAGCATAGCAGGATTATTTAAATTTAACACTAGAACTTGGTATTTCCCATTGTTGATTGGTCTGAACAACATCCATCAGCCTCGGTTCCCATATGGGCTCGTGTGTGGATGCCTCAAAATAGCCTGTAATTAAGTATTGATACTAAAGGTGCATAATGGCTAGCGAAGGAATCCGGGATGCACGTTCCCTCCTATTTGGGGCTCGTCAGCTGGAAGTAACTACAATACACTGAGTGGCATTCCCACTGAAAATCAAGTAGTTAAAGCACTAAGTGATGGGTTCGAGCTTTAGTAGGAGCATTATCACCCAGTAAGATGCAAATACATCCAGCCTACAAGTCTCAGAGAGGATGAAATGTATTTCCTTTATTCCAATGTTATTGATTTTTCTTCCCTGTTATTAGTTAAATTTGTTAACATCAGCTGTAGTCCAAAACCAAAACAGACAAACAGGTGTGAGCAACATTGAATTTAACATTGCTGAATAGAAAGTTCAAGTTAACACACTTCAGATCAACACATGGAAGGAATACAGGTCAAGAAGACAAGTTCTCTACATGGTTCGGACGAAATACCAAGTACTGATATCTTATTTCTGTTTTGCCACCCTTAGCATTTATTCAATCTAATCATACTTCACTTAATGTTGTTTGTCGAAGTTGCACGCTCAATTCCTCTTTAACGGTGAACTTTCTCGGCCTCATAAACTGTAGCGTCTCCAATATCTAATATACTGACTGATAAAATCAACAGAGAACCCCTCACACGGGTGCATCGGCTCAAGTTGTCACACTTTATACTTCAAAACACTCAATGTACACCTTACTTTCGATTATTGTCTCTATGAATTCACATCAAGCAGGGAATTCCATAAAGGTAGCAGCGGTTGACAACCCGTGACTTCCTAATACCACCTTTTCACAACCACATATCAAAAAAGATTACGCTCAATCTTCACTAGATAATCAGATATTACGCCAGTACCCTAATTAATTTTAGTTTCTTAGGGCCAACCTAGGCGTTTTCATCTCTGTCAAGAAGATTTTGTTGCTCACTAACCTACAAGAGCTCATGTGACTACCTTGATCAGTAGACCAATCAAAGTACACAAACAACTAGTTTCCTATTGTCAAACAGTCATTCATCATAAACTCTTCTTGAAGATGAGAAATAGATTTCAAACACTGTCAAATTACCACTCTGATCGTTAAGAAGACTCTTCATTTTGCTAGTACCTCCACTTAACGTAAGTATGCCACCTGCATACTCTAAGTTAAATAAAAAATCTCTGAATAGAATATCAGTCTCTATGAAGTAAGAACGAGGGATGATAACCTCAGCAATTGGATCCGTGACAATGGGGAATAGAAATGGTGGCGGTAAATATCCTTAAAGGGACATCATTATATGCAAATACTTAATCGGATAGCTCACCGTTGGCTTTCATGCGAGCATACTTGTTCAGGTAAGGTGATAATCTTGACAAGCACCTTTGTTAACGAGGAATAATGTTTCAAGACCTAATCGAAAGAGTTGAATACTATCTTTTGGCTAGGTAGACGTTAACAATCGACAATTGAAATAAGTTAAACTGATTTGTATTTGACTTTCACAGCTTATCTTCCATCTTGATGGAAAAACAAAACACCTAAGTCACTTTGAAAGATAGCTTAGGTATGTACATTATCTCGATAATTGGTATGTGAGACATTCACATTGTTCTCTATCCAAAGGTGAATTTCATGTCCAATGGAAGGCTTGAAATACGGTAGATATCACGTTAGATGGACTAAACGGTTTACTTTAGCTTCTGGCAAAGAGCTCATTGGTTCAGATGATCATACTTCACAGCATCCTGCAAAGAAAAGACGCATAAAAATGAATCATATATAAGCTACCTAACATGACGTGAAAGAAGAACAATTACTTCAACAATCTCCTAACGTTGATTTCATTCTTGAAGCTGTACAATCACAAATTTATACATTTTCTTTTGTTGGTATTTGATATTTAGAAGTGGCTCCTCAAACATGGCAATAAAAGTACAGTCAATACATGGACTGTCACTAGGATCAAAAATTGTGATTAAATGGTAAATACTAGTCAAAATATAACTGTAGTTACATAAAGATAGCGAAGTTTGGATAAAACGTTGCGCAACATAATAGAATATTTGGAAACTGAAGCGTGACCAGAAACAGCGTAGAAGTAAAAATGAATGTCAACTTATGTAAGAAGTGAACAGTGTAGAAAGAAAGAGGTGATTTCAAGGACCGAAAATCAAACCATGAAAGGAGAAGAGGTTAAGCAATTTTCTTTTGCATACAAAGCTCATGTTTCTACATGTGGATGGTGAGGGCTCGGGGATGCAGAGAAAACAAAGACATAGAGCCTTGTAAAGATTTCTTTTCAATTTTTCAATGACTTTGAATGAGGAGGTTTTTGAGGTAGAGTCCCCCCTGTTCATGATTTGTTCAATTATAGCACTTCTTACTGATCCACTGCTACCTATTTGTAACCGAACAAGATAGTGCTCTTGAACACTTTTAGATAACAGTCGCATCTCTCCAAAAAAGCAGGTGAATTGAAATACACACCTGGGAGTGGTTAGACATGGAAGTTTCTCCTTGAAGTTGTTGGGAAAAACTGAGTGAAAGGAGAATACTAATTTCAGCGTTGATTTGAGTGTTCAAGACTTCGAAAATGACTATGAGTATAAATATCTGTACCATTGTGATTGATTTTCAATCATGTCAATAAAAGTATCCAACCATTGATTTCTATCATCGCAAGGGCCTCAGCCAGATAGTCTACACTTCCATAGGTAGCTTAGACCATCAACCAAAGAACTCATGGGCTGGTTTCCCCACCCTTTAGTCTTCTTTCAACCTAGTCCAACTTCTAGCATTGCAAGTCGAGGCAAGGAGTTGCTCGACACAAGCAACACATTTTCCAGCCACCTCATCTGCTGAAAGTTCGACCAACTTGCCTAGTTCCATGCCTGTAACCTTGACCATTGCTCACACGGTGATTCCACCACGACGAAGTAGTGCAACGAAGAGACTTATCTTTAAAAGTATGGAATCGCTTCATATTTTCTACTTTCAAATGTCATGTGTCAGTCGTATAATAAGATAAAGTCGTTAGCATCACAGTTTATCATCCCTTATGTGTAGTCAGAAATGACGTGATTTGGCTGTTGCTAAATGGGTCTTTTGCAAATGAGCGGATATTTCATCAGAAACGAATCCATTCAGTCTGATGCGGGTTTCCTAGTTAGTAGAATGATAAACACATTTTATCAACTTACTCCCTATCCTGCTTTCACGATGCGGTTCGAATTTGAACGATGCAAAATACATGCTAAACAGACTCAAATTTCCGTTCAAGACGATAGGAAGGCTCTGCATTTTGTCAGCGTCTTCGCCTAACATGACTTTTTCATTTGCGTACCATAAGTTATTATATTATTATTATTATTATCATTTGTCCCTTGGTTTCCCAGTGAGACGGAGGGCTTCAGTAGCACGTCTCCATTCCACTCTGTTCTCTGCAATCTTTTGAACCTGGCGCCACAACTGTTCACAAGCTTTCATTTCTTCCTCACACCATCTCCTCCATGTCATCCTCGGACGCCCAACTCGCCGTTTCCCATCTGGGTTCCACTCGACAGCCTGGCCTGGAGCGTGATGTCCTCGAATGGTCTTCTCACTGAATGCCCAATCCATCTCCACTACCTTCCAATGCATATTTGTTGAGCAATAGGTTCTTGGTTGGTTCGTTGCCAACTAGTCAGAGTTCCTTGTTGCTTATTCCTAGTATTCTGACCATCTGAGCTTCAGTGTCTAGCGAGCGTAGGTGGCAGCTGTTGATGAGTGTCTGTAGTTTTTTGGAAATGTTTTTCGTGACGCGCCAAGTTTCTGAACCGTATAGAAGTGCTGACTTGACTGACGTTGGTGTTGGAAATCTCGATCTTGTTCACACTTTATGCTGAGTGCAGAAGATCTCCACACTGATTTCAGACTAGTGAAAGTTTGTCTTGGTCTTCCGATCCTGGTTTTGACATCCTCGTCTGTGCCGCCGCCTGTAGTTGAAACGATGCTGCCTAGGTATGTAGGTGGAAGAGACTACTTCCTTTGAGTTTCTCCTGTTGATGGTGATTGGAGCTGGTTGTTGTTGGTGATGGCATTGGTTGGGTATCATCCTCACCTCTGTCTTCTCTACGTCCACTTGAAGTCCCGTCTTCCTTCGCTGCTTCTCCTGTCAACTTGTTAGTTCTTGCCTGTAGATCTTCGAGTTTGTGTGACAAGATATTAAACATAAATCATCATTGGCGAAATCCAAATCTTCTAGGGTCTTTTCATTGGTCCAGCCAGCGTATGTCCCTCTTCTCGCTCCTCACAGTTTGTTGCGTGATCCAGTCCAGTCGACTACAATCAGGAAGATGATTGGTGATAGCAGGCGGCAACCTTGTCTTACTCCTGTCTTCACTTCAAAGGTGTCACTGAGCTTTCCATTGTGAATCACTTGGCATGTAGTATCATGTAGCATATAGCTGTTGAATGAGGTTGATAAGGATTTGTGGCACTCCGTAGTGTTGAAGCAGCTGCCTGCCAAATTACTTCTTGTTCGACGCTGTCGAAGGCCTTTTCAAAGTGGATGAAGTTGAGGTAAAGATCCAGTTGATTGCCATTGTATGCTATGTTCTATGATGACGTGTAGCGTAGCGTTGCAATTTGATCCGCACATGATTTGTTTTTGCTGAAGCCAACCAGTCTGTTCCGGTCGTAGTTTCGAATCCAGCGCAGTGTCGTAGAAGTGTCTTTTGTCTTTGCACGCATTCTCCTTCACTTCTTTGTCCAGTGTAGTGTTTTATACGTTGTACTCAGTTCCTCTTCTCGTTGTTCATTCCTGCACTGCACCGGTTCATCTTCTGCTTCACCAGCTTCCTCTCCCTCCTCTATCAGCTTCCATGTGTCCGTCGAAATCCATTCCTTGTCCTGTCTTCTTTCTTCTTCCTTCCAAATACGGTTATGCAGGTTCCTTTCCACATAGCTTTCAAAGAGTTCCAGTGCTCATCCACACAGGTTTCTCCAGGGATGTTGCTCGACATCTCTCATTTTGTCTTGATGGCTGGCGTGAGGATTTCCCTTGTAGTTTCGTCCTTCAGTTTCTGTTCTAGGTGTTCAACTTGAACTGTGGTCTATCACCAACTTGATTTCAACTTGATTTTGAAGGTAGGTTCCTTGCACTAGATAGTGGTGTGAGTGGTCTGAACCTACATCTGCTCCTCTTTTTGACCTTGTGTCAAGTAGGCTGCGTCTCCACTTTCTTCACATTGAGATGAAGTCGATCTGATTTTTAGTGTGTCCTGGTATCTAGTGAAGCCCATGTCGCTTTGTGGATATCCTTGTGCTTGAACACAGTTCCTCCAATCACCAAATTGTTGAATGCACAGAATTCTGCAAACAGTTCTCCATTCTCGTTCATTCCACCGGGCGCTTCTCCACCCATGGTTAGTTATCTTTCTGTGTTGTCCGCTCCCAGTTTGGCATTCATGTCACTGCACCCATTAGAATTTTGATGTTGGCAACTGGGCTGCGGTCTTGTCCAGTGTTGATTGCAGTTGTCTCTAGAATACCTCCTTCTTCTCTCGATCTGCATTGTTTGTAGGTGCGTAGCATTGTTCGATTGTAACTTTCCTTCCTTTTGAGTTGAATCTTGCTGTCATGTTCCTGATGCTGGAGGAGATTGGTTCCCACTGCCTGAGAGCCTTCGATGCTCTCGGGAATATCATGATAGCCACTCCAAAATTTAGTGTGCTCATGGTTGTCGTCTGAGTGACAATATCGGGGTAGATTATTGACTCTCCAGTTGACAGTTTGGAGAGTCCACTTCCATCCCACCTGCTTTCGCAGATTCCTAGCACTTCTCTGCTATACCCTCTCATCTCTTTGGCAATCTGGGAAGCCTTGCCAGCCAGCCTCAAACATTGTGAGGACATTCCATGTCCCCATCCTTACTTTCACTTTCATCGAGAGGAGAGAAAACACATCGGCCAACTGGCTTCCTGAAGTCTTTCACCAATCGGCGTCATTTCGTCTCTCCGATTCCAACGAGGAATAAGTTTGTTTTTATTTTTCATATTTTTTTTGAGCTTTGAAGTTTCTTTAGCGATTGGATTGGTTTTACGGGGTAGGGTTGCTAGCCTTATGCCCAACCTTCCTTCTTTACCCGGGCTTAGGACCGTCTAGTAACTAGTGAACTAGTTAGCCAGGCGATGTTGTAACATTGGTTAGCCAGGAGCATTTCAGAAAGGAAGATAATCTTTGAGTTGTCGAAGGTACACGGGGTTATTGTTCATTAGTACACCTTTGACAATGTGGAATAATGATGTTGATATCAGATTGTCTGACGGATGCCGTTATTTCAGATAACAACTTTCTGCAAGCCATTATGGTGAGTTGAGTAACATGAAGGAGTTATGATTATGCATCATTCTTATAACCTCGCGTTTGAAGCGTACTTCCTCTATTACTAGGTCATTTATAAACCTAAAGATTATTTCTTTTGTTGCGATTTATCATCAGTTGAACAAAAAATACGGAATAATTAGTCTCTTTTCATTTCATAGTTTACAGATCATATCTGTGGCCGCCATATTGAACCGTTTGTACTAGGCTCTGTAAAGAAGCATAATTTGTTTTATTATCGTGATACGCTCACATAATTGTTAACAGGATGAGAAACTATATGGCTTGTCATCTTCAAAAATCGGATAATGAATGCAGCGTACAGGTGTATTGCGACACTTATTTTGGTTTCTTCAATGCATTCCCTGGGTTGTAGAAGTCAATCTGAAGTCTGGATAAGAACTGAAGTCTTTCGACAATAGTCGATCTTCGCTCAAAATCTTTTCAGCTCAGTTTTCCTCGGAACAGTTCAAGCGTAGCTGTTATGGGATTTTAAATTATTCTTTCTTAGTATATTTCTGTGTAATTTGACAGAATACTTCACACTGCATACATATACTCTGCTTTATCCTATTAACAGAATGAAGAATTGAAAGCATGCATCGAAACAAGTCGTAGAATGGAAACGCGCTTTGGACATTGGTTTGACAGAGTAATTATCCCTGAAACACTAGATTCAACCGTCACTGAATTAGTTCGCCTTGCTATCAAACTTGAACGAGAGCCTACATGGGTACCGAGGTATTGGTTAGAAATGGATTAGATTGATACCAATAATTTTTGCTATTGACATGCTGGGTAGCATTTCTTTTGCTGCATTCACTCATGTATAACAAAGCTTGAAATTGTAATGAATGAATTACAACTCACATAAGCCCACATATGCATATCAACAGCTAATAAGTTGGCTTATTCCGCTCCCATCTAATCTCGCCCTTCTTTTATTCGTTTTTTTCGCTCAAGCATTTCTCTTTTTGGTGTGTGTGTGTGTGTGTGTGTGTGTGTATGAGAGCAACGTCTCGTTTGTTTTGAAACTTGAAGTTGCATAACTTTTTCTTGGCCAATCATTGCCCGCCTTGATTGCTTGCCTTGTTTTGCTTACTTTCTATTGTGAACGATATTATTGTGAAATGTGCTACCAGTACTAATTACTTTCAGCTAACAGTTTGATCAGAAGTTTTCTTTTTGTTTTGTTGGATTATTTTTTATTTTATTTGTAAGAATAAACAAATAACCTGATTTCTTTTGATAAATAAATATGAGAATAAATCTCACTAATATTCTGTGTAGTGTTACCTATATCAACAGATGGTTCTTCTGATGTTTTTCGTAGTGATACTTGCAATGTCCGCAAAAATATATTTGGATAAAATGCTTATCATCAGCGAATTCGAGAGAACGTTACATATGGGGCTTTACTGTGGAACGTTATTAGTCAAAATAGTTTGAGCGTTCTCACCACGAAATACGGTGAAACTATGAATGGAGAACAGCCTTGCACACTGCAACTTAATGTAGACTGAAGGGATTTTAAAAAACCAAATATGTTAGTTACCAACAATGGAAAGTTGTTAGTATATGTGAAATTACAACACAATGAAAAAGTATGGGGAAACAGTACGAAAATAGTGTGGCTAAAATAGCTGTGCACACAACAAGGAACGAGGAGTGAGAAGTTGTGAATGGTAGACTTGAATCAATGCTACTTCTCAATGACAATCACTTCCTGACTAATCTGACTTCGTTGCTGGATAGTGTTTACAGAAATTTGTGTAATGCTCTTGATATCGAAATAATAGATGGCTGAACAGAATCAAGGACAGGTCTGGGTAATGAGCGATTGAAGGTGAAATGAAAATCTGGGCCGTGGAAGGATTGAAAACAGCGACCACAACATAAGTCTGCCAAATGACGGCTATTTCAGATAGTCAAGATGATAATTTATGTGTTTTTAGGTCAGTGGAGATTTTAATTATGAGGTAGTATTCATTACGACTGAAATCATTTGGAGAACTATGCTGAGGAGCCCCATACTAGGACGAAACAGCTGTCCAGTGCTCTCAGGTTTTCAATAGTTCTCCAACTGATATCAGCCCGGGATGAATACTACCTCGAAATGATAAGTCTTGAATATATGCGTCAGTTTAAAGCTGTTTGCTTTCATGTATCTGTTTTTCATAAATAAACATTGAAAAAAAATCTAATTTTTTTCATCGACAAGATTTTTTCTGAATACCTCAAATTTCCATAAAAAAAGAACAGTAAATCTTGCATGAAGACGCTGCATTCATGGTATTCTATTACTTTCTGTTCAACTGCACACAGGTCCAAAAATTGAAAGGTGCAGTTGATACAAAAGTAATCTTTATACACTTTAATCGATTCAGGAAAGATAGCCGTTCGATGAAAAATAAGGTAAATCGTACAGTTTGAGATCTCATGAAAAAAATTACACTGATCAAAACTATAGTTACCTAGTGTTCGTACATTCGAAAACTCAAAAAATGGATTAAGCGGGACAAAGTAAACCTAAATGATGACTTATCAATGTTTCAAACATAGCTGACATTGAAGTGGATTGAAGCTAGATTAGTTTGAGGTAAACAGTAAGCCCGGAGTGATATAACAAGAGTTGGTTGCATAAGCAATAAGTAGTAGAAGGGAGCAGAAAAATTAAAAAAATTGAAGAATTCACACTTAGGAGTAATTCAAAAACCAAAGGCCGATTTGTAGGTGGGGATCTAACAACTACATTTTTTGAAAATGTATTTTAGGTTGAATGCTCCTAATAGCAATCGGTTTTGTAAGATTAAGTGAACATTGTTCCGTTTATTTATCGTCCTAAGTGAACTTTACGAGTCAATATAATGTCCAGTAGCCATCAGATCTTGCTCAAGTTTGTTTATAAGATGGAGGCAGTCGACAGGAAGCCCTCGACGCACCACCTGAGATTCGAACGCGTATCACCTAGTGTTACAGTCAGCGACGTTAACGCTGAGCTACCCGGGACACGAGTGATTTTCTGTAGGACTGAATTAGATACGCTGAGTATTCACTGGAAGACAACCAACTTCATGTTGTCTAGACCTAAATACTGACCGAATTCTGTCGAACATATTGCAATATGGCCAGCAGACTAGTCAGCTCAGCATCGCAATCGACTTTGATAAATGTTTGTTGGATGAAGGTAATCCATCGATGATAACTAATCAATATTTCTCAAGGCTGTTTAGTATTCTAAAACAAAACGTATTTGAAATATGCTAACACAGTCACGTTGAAGCCCACCTGTGTTTCGTCACTGCACGTGTTCTTGCAAGTAAAAAAACTCGTGGATAAAACTTACCGTGAGATGAACTAGGTATCTGACAAACTTCGAACATTGTGGTGCAAAACAGCATTCCATAAGCATAAATGTTTGGCTGCATCTAAGCTGCCTTAATTAACAGTTTCTAACAACTTCCAGGCAGTTAAAGATATCACAAGATTGAGGAGTGAGAGGAAACGAAACAGATTTGATTCCCGAATTCCCGAATTAAAGTACTACTACCAATATTATTATTATTATTATTATTATTATTATTATTACCATTATTATTATTACTGATGTTTACCTAACATTCTCATATTCATGTAAAGTTAAATGCTTGAACACCTCTGGCGGTTGAATGTTGTCATTAATACTTTGGGTGCCAAATCAAGTGTGTTATACTTTTCTTGAGAATGATATCCAACATGTTTACTGGGATTATATAAATCTGATAACAGTGGTAGTCACAGGCAAGACCTAAACCAAAGTAGTTCATGACGGTTGTGCGTTGGCTTGCAATGGGTATATTTAGCACATTTTTGAAATTTGGAGCATTTACACAGCTGGCCAGTCGATGCTTTGTATTGGTGTTTGTATTTCGAAGTAGTTTTCATCAAAGATGGACATGAATTGAAGGAGTGTTGGACGGTTGTATCAGTCTTGTTTGGAACTTCTCAAAAGTGCACACTCACCAGAGACCGGGCCAAGGATGGTCAGGTCTCATGAGAAGCATGTTACCTCTCATTCGCTAGCTTCAAATCCAATGGTTCACATTTCTTTGCTTTCATCGTTTCGCTACGTAACTTGACCATCATCCAATGCAATCGGTGAATATTTGTCCTTAAACCCAACTTGACTGACCACGCTTATCACTACTTCCCATTAGAAATTCAGGAAATCATCTTACAAACAAAACACATCACTAGTGAGTAATAATACAGTGGCTGGATGCTTCGCTGCTCGTCGCGAAACCTGACTGTCTGGAGCTAAGTGTCTTGTGAGATAGAGGTTGCACACTACTGAGTAGCCTAGTTCCAGGATGAAACAGCTCTTTGGTTGTCTTAGGTTCTCAACAGCTTCCTAACTGGTGGTATTCCATGAGGAATAGTAACCTAGACGTCAGTTAGTCCCCTCAAACCACCAAATGAAAAGAATTTATTTCTGGAAAGTGATACGTTTTGCAGTTATATAAAATACAAAATAGAATTCTTGAAGACCTTAGGAGTAGTAAAACTGTGTAGAAATCAAAGATGAACTTCGTTTTGAAAAAGACATTATCGGTCTACATTTTAAAACTGCTAACCTGTGAATTTAGATCCGGCGTTGTTGACATGATTGTTCTGTTATGCAACACAACATGCTGTATAAATTCAAATTTAACGCAATACGGTAACTTCAGTTTAAGTTTTATGAACACAAAGAAAACAGTGGCTGTCACACACCTGATTCGTTTGAGATCTTTTTGATGCTAACTTTTTCGCTTTAAATACTTCCTATGGAGAAGGATAGTTCTTATAAGATGAAGTAACCTTAACCACTGAGCTGTTTATATTCCATCTTAGAAATAATCTGGTATAGCTTATTTTATTTAATCTGGTAAACGCGATCTAGATGACTGCGTTAATTATTTATGCTTTCTGTAAGCTTATATGTCCAGTGTGGTAAGCATCTAATTGAAGCAAAAATTCATACACTAGCAGAATCTATGCATTGAAATGAATGTTCTGCAGTTATCTTTACAAATATGAAAAATGATTTTGTTAGCTTTGAAAATGTATACTTTTTGAGTACTGTAATTATCCATGTGATTGATTACAAATACATTCAGTGAATGATATTTAAAAAGATAGTGAAAGTATTCCAGGGAGAAGATAAACATGTTAGTTGGAATGCATATCAATCAGTTTCTGTTAGTAGGAGACGGTTGTGTGACTAATACCGACGGAAACCAACTTATTCACCGCAATGCCTTAACTACACAGATATCAAACGACAAATCACAGTTGAATTATACACCGAAATAAAAGTCTCAGGCACACACATGATGCAACACAGAGTTGGCATTAATGAACTTCATTTTAAAAGTTATCAATATTTTATGGATAGTAAGTGGAAGTTATTGTTAGCTGATTTGTAGAAATGGAGGTGAGCACTGCATCCATGAAATCACTGAGAATGGACAGTGTTTTACCTAAAAAAAGCTTTTGACAAATGAGCAACAGTTGCAGTATGGTTAGGACACTTCTTGACCGGGCACAAGTTTCTGCTGACATAAGAAACTAGAAGGTGAGATGATAGTGCTTGAAAAATATATACGCCTATCAATGAACATCGTAAGATATGTATTAAGTACTTAATTAATAAGTGAAGCATTACGATACTATGTAAATATATATATATATATATATATATATATATATATATATATATATGTAGGACGCGTATATTACCAA